GTTTAGCTGGAAAACAAAAGATGGAGGTGGGAGGCGGGGTGGTGACAGCTGTCTTTAAGTATTTGAAGGGTTGTAATGTGGGAAAAGGAATCATTTTGTTCTGTTTGGCCCTAGAGGGAAGAACTAAGAGTGATGGATAGAAGTTTCAAAGAAGCAAATTTGGGCCTAAGGTAAGGAAAAACTTTCTTCTTTTTTTAGTTTGCTTTTATTGATATATTTTGTTTTTATATCACTTTCATTTCCAAATATATCCCCTTCTTCTCCCCTCCCCACCCCAGAGGACATCCATTCTAACAAAGAATAAAAAAAAAAGAAAAAAAATCAGTTCAGCTAAACCAAATGATTAACACATTTGCCAAGTCCAGTAGTATATATGGTATTCCACACACGTAGCCCCTCACTTCTGCAAAGAAATGAGAGGAGCATATTTTCTCAACTTTTCTCTGGGGCCAAACTTGGTCATTAAAATTACATAGAATTCTATGTTTTGAGTTTATGGTCATCCCATCTACATTCTTATAATCATGGCTATTGCATTCCTGATTCTGCTTACTTGATTCTGCATCAGTTCAAATAAATCTTTTGTGTTTTTCAATTCTTCAGAGTCAGTGATTCTTACTGAATAATAATAGCGAAAACCTTCCTAATAATAAGAATTATCCAAAAGCAGAGTGAACTCTCTCAAGAAGGATTGGGCTCCTTTTTACTGAGCATGTTCCAGCAGAGGCAGGATGAGAACCTGTGGGGTCTGTTACCAATGAGATTCATTTTGAGATATGCATTACACTATACGGCCTGAGGTTCCTTCCAGTGCTAAATCCTGTAAGCTTAAGGTCTTATTTACCTACTCAGTGAGATTCTAAGGAGTCTGATTTAGTATGGAAGATTACACAGCATTGTGGGTAACATGGCCTTGCTAAGTTTGAAGTGCAGAGGGTAGCTTTCAGGATGCTCCAGTTCTGAGCCCATTTCAGGACTGCATCAGTTTGACACTAATCAGAGGACCTGAGTTCAAATCTTGCCTTTGATAGTTATCACCTGCATGACCTTGGACAAGTCAATCATTTAAGCTCCACAAGCTTCAGTTTCTATATCTGTAAAAGGTGGGGTTCGGAGGGGTTGTTTCTAATTAAACATTTTTCATGGCTCAACCCAGATGTGGATTCTCCAACATACCAGACCAAATCAAAACCTCATACCTGAGTAGGGATTTGGGCTGGTTATGCTGGTCTCCACCTGCTTGGGGTCTTTTGGAAAAACCATGGAAGGCAGAGGGAATGGTGGTAGAAGTAAGATGGCCTCCACTGAAACTTACTTGGCCATTGGGGAACCCTGAGGATAATCCCAGACTTGAATGGAATGGAACGGAAGAAAGAGAGCCTAAGAGGAGCTTTCCCAATCATTTCAGCCATCTCTAATGGGTGTATACCACTTGTTGTGTTTCTGAGTCATGTGTATTTTATATTTTTCTTCTACTTTATATTTTGGGGTGAAATAAGGGTAGGGGTGTAATGAGGCATCGGAAAGCAATAAAGAAAGAACACTGGATTTGGAATTAGAGGGTCAGGATCCAAATACAGGTTTCATTGATTACCTATGGACAAATCACTTATCCTCCCTGAGCGTCAGTATCTTAATACGCAAAGGGAGGCAGCTGGATTAGAAGGCCCCTAAGTTTCCATCCGTCTACAAATCTATGATCCTGTTTTTCTCCTGCCTTCCAAGTATCACAAGGGGGTCAAGAGAACAAACAGTAAGGAATGGCTTTCAAAGGCACCAGGAAAACGAGACACCTGGCATTCAGGATCAACTTTCCAGTTCACACATTATCCAGCCTAAGGTAAGCTTCACTGGCCCAGTCTCCTGACTATTGCTTTAAAATAGAATGTGTCAAAGTTGCTGATGCTACTCATCCAGATCTTAGGGGAGATCACAGGAGTATAGAGATGGATGCAATCTTGACTGATACAAATGTAAGCGATATTTGCAAAAGTTATTGACTATTTGAAGTTCAAATGTGTCAAACCTCACAAGTTCAATTAATCAACCAATACTCATTTATTAAGTGCTGACTATGTATTAGGTACTGGGCAAATACAATAAATAAAACACTTTCTACTCACAAAGAACTTATAAACAAGAATATATATGTGTATTGTTACTGTTGGGTCGTTTCAATTCTGTCTCACTCTCCATGACCCCATTGGGAGTTTTCTTGGCAAAGACACCGGAGTGGCTTGCCATTTCCTTTTCTTTTCTTTCTTTCTTTCTTTCCTTCTTTCTTTCTTTCTTTCTTTCTTTCTTTCTTTCTTTCTTTCTTTCTTTCTTTCTTTCTTTTTTTTAGGCAATTGTGGTTAAGTGACTTGCCCAGGGCCATACAGCTAGTAAGTGTCAAGTGTTTGGTCTGAGGCCAGGTTTGAACTCAGGTCCTCCTGACTTCAGGGCCAGTGCTCTATCTACTGTGCCACCTAGCTGCCCCTTGCCATTTCCTTTTCCAGTTCATTTTACAGATGAGGAAACTGAGGCGAACAGGATTAAGAGACTTGCCCAGGGTCACACAGCTAGTAAGTGTCTGAGGCTGGATTTAAATTCAGGTCCTCCTGACTCCAGGCCTTATGCTCAACCTACTAGCTGCCATGAATTTGTGTGTGTGTATATACATGTATGTATATATGTATGTATGTATATGTATATATATATATATACATATATGTGCTTAAGAGTAATTGGGGTAAATCAATCATATTACCCCACTCAATTTAAAATAAGAGTCAATAAAAAATGTGTCAAGATGCTAAACCAAGGCACTTTTTATCAAATGAGAACAAATCTCAACTGTTCACTAGTTATGAGCAAGGCCTGGATGCCTCCCTAGGCATGAAAGGAAATCTGTTCAGATTGGCTGAGAGACTTGGTTCCCACCTCTGAGACCTATAAAAAAAACCAGGAGCTATTTGAGAACCTAAGATATTTGAGTGTCTGGCATGGAGAAAAGAGAGAGTTGCCTCTGAGAAGACTCTTTGAAGGGAGAGAGGGAGCACTTTAGCCTTCAAATAGGTTTTTCTGTCCACTCCCTCCCCCTTGTCTCAAGGAAGACCTCATGAGCTTTGGCGTGTCAGGAGGATTTTGGATTTCTCATCATCCCATCAGCATCCTAGCACCTTCATAAGGACAGCAATGACTAGTAATAGTGTCAGTAACCAGAGCCAAGGTCAGACTGGACAGATGAGGAGGAAAATACATTCAAACATCGACAAAGAGCACAGCAGAAGAGCTATCCCACACCTAAAGGGAATATCCTAAGAACTCTAGCAAGAGGACTTCTAGGAGCCGTGAATTATCCCTGTACATATGATCTCTAAGCTGAAGTCCACTTTCCCTTGGGCTTCCTTTGTACTTATGGGACAGTATGTCACAAACTTTCAGGGGCATATTTGTTCCAGTTCTTTATATGATGTTCTACAGTTAAGCCATTTCAGTCATGTCCAACCCTTTATGACCCCATTTGGGCTTTTCTTGGCAAAGAAACTGGAGTGGTTGGCCGTTTTCTTCTCCAGCTCATTTTACAGATAAGGAAACTGAGGCAAACAGGGTTAGGTGACTTGCCCAGGGTCACACAACTGGTAAGTGTCCAAGGCCACATTTGTACTCAGGTCAACCCTGACTCCAGGCCCAGGTCTCCATCCACTGTGCCACCTACCTGCCCAATTTTTCATACCTTAGTAAATACTCTTTTTCAAAAATCAAATGATTAGTGTCTATCAATTGATAAGCATAGTAGGAAGAACATAAGTTGAGGTCTGTGAGCTATATAGCATTACTATCCCACTCCCCCAGGCCCTCGAGGCTAACTATAAAGTTATTCAGGGGATTTAGGAACTATGCTCTGAGGACACAATTCATCTGTGCAAGTGGGGACTGGAAAACCAGAGCATATTCTTCATGAGTATATACTCAATAAATGAGTTATACATACATATATATGTATATATGTATGTATGTATGTATACATATATGTACATATATATTAATATAAATATGTCTTCTCTCATCACTTCCTTCAACTGACATTCATATGGTATGATCTCAAGGCCTTTCACCATCCTGTTCAACTTTTTCTGAAATGTGTTCTAGCTTGTCAATGTCCCTTCTAAAACGAAGATGTCACACTCCAAATCTGGATCTGACCAGAGCAGACTACAGAGAGACCAGCATCTCTCTTGTTCAGGACATTGTATTTCCCTTGGAACAGGTCTAGCTCTTATTAGCTCCTTTACCTTCCATATCACACAGTTAACTCATATGAAGCTTGTGGTCCACTAGAACCTCTAGGTTCTTTTTATATTAATTGCTTTCTTGACACCAACCTGCACTTATACCGTTGATTTTTTACAACCTAAGTATAAGGTATTGCATTGATTCCTACAAGTTTTATTTTGTTTGTTTTAGTTCTCCATTCTGGTTTATCAGGGTCTTTTGAGGATCCAGATTCCATCATCCAATGTATTAGCTATTCCTGCTATGTTGGAGTCACATTTGATAAATACACCATCTATGTTTTCATCTAATTCATCAATAAAAGTTATTAAGAAAAGAGCCCTGGGACGCTCCATTAGAGACCCCCCTCCAAGTTGAGATGGGTATTGATTGGCACTCTTTGGGTCTATCTGGTCATCACGCCGATATCACAGCATGTCATGAAGTCCATATCTCGCCCTCTATCTTGATGAGTTGATTACGAGTCTTTTGGCTACATGCCTTGCTGAAACCCAGCTCTAAACTATATCCATGATGTTCTCTTGACCTATTAGTCTAGTCACAGTCTAGCATTCCTGTCAAAAAAGGAAACTAGATTAGCCTGACAGGCCTCTTTCTTGCAGAATCCATTCTGGCTCCCAACAATCCCATACAGACACATACACTTTTGCTATGTGTTCACAAACTATCTCTTCAACTTTATTTTGTTCTCTGGTTTTACCAAGATATTACCAGGTTATAGTTTGATTTTTCCACCCCTTTTTTTTGCTCGTTTGGAATTAGAGCCAACATTTGTTCACCTCCTGTCCCAAAGCTCCACTTGCCACAACTCAATGATAATTGACAGCTGCAATCTCACCCCTGAATTCTTTCAGTTCCCTGGGATGTGGTTCTTCCAGGCCAGGTGACTTTAACTTCTCCAGGGCAGCTTTTCACTTCTTTTTTTTTTTAATCTTCTCCTAACTTATCTTGGGTTTCAATTTTCTATTAGCCATTTTTGGTCTATTCTTCCTGGTCTGGATATTATTCTCCCTAGAAGAGAAATCCAAGAGTTGATTAGTTACGCTTCTCTCTATTGTTCATTATCACCTTCCCATCCACACCAAGCAGGGGTCCTATCCCTTCCTTGATCTTCCACTTCCCCCTAATGTGAATTTGAAAAAAAACTCTTTGTATTGTCTGTAGCATTTATCAGGAGGCTGAGCTCATACGAAGCTTTAGCCTTCCTGACGCTATAATGCAGGATCTTGCTGCTCTTTTGTATTTGTCCACACTTGCCTGCCCTCACTTCCATCCCTGCACATGTCCTTTTAAAACCTGAGTTCTGCAGTGAGCATCCAGTTCAGCCATTTCATTGGAATCGATCATGATTGCATTACCAGAATTTCCTTATTGATGGCCTCCATTCCTCTTGGCCAGGCTCCCCTTTGAAAGCTTCAGGAATTTGGATCCTACCTATCCTAACTCTGAACTCTAATGTCCACTCTCCTCAAATTCAGGACTACACATCTGAGTATGTACAGTTTTCCCCAACTTATCTGTCACTATGATTGTGTGGTCACTATTTCCCAAGTCCTTATGGGTCAGAATAAGGATCAGGAGTGTGGTTGTTCTCACTGCTTTCTAAACTTTCAGAAAGATAAAATCATCAATGAGGCAAATCAAATTTTTTTCATCTGTCCTGATTTATCAGAGAAAGAGAGAGAGAGATCTCTAGCAGAAGCTGAAGTCTTCCAACATTCAATCTAGTCCAACAAGTATCTGTAATTGTATATTTGTTATTGAAAGAAAGTGGAAGGTAATAGAGCACTAAATATGGAGTCAGGGAGTTTGGGGTTCAAATCCTGCCTCAGTCATTTATTTTGTGACCCTGGGTAAATTTTTGGGCCTCAGTTTCCTCACATGTCAAATGAAGGGGTTGGACTCAGCAAGTTCTATTATTGCCATTTTACAAATGAGGAAACTGAGTCTCAAAGAGGTGAAGTGACTTGCCCATTATTAAACATAGTAGGTAACAGAGATATCAGAAGTAGGATTTGAACCCTGGAAACTTTGAAATCTAAATCTATGATCCAGTAACAACATGTGTAAGACATTGGGTTACAGAGACAAAATGAAGACTTCAAGTAAGCTTCAAGCAGATTACTAGGAGCTTTTGTTCCTCAGGAATGAGGCATGCATAGCTAACCTACTGAGGTGGCCAGGCTGTCCAATTATATGTTGTGTTATTATATTATGTTTTTGATTGATAAGTCTACAGTTTCCATGCCAACATTCATCCATTTTAGTGAGCAGCCCCCCCTACTTATTTGACACTTTACTTGCTTTCATCTCCAACCACATTCCCTTGCCTTCAACCCATAGCCATGTGGTCATTAATTCACGTAAGTGTTCTAATAACCAGGCATCAAGGCCTTGTCCTCTAGCCCTCGCCTTCTGGTGTATTGGGTTCAGTTCTGAATTTAATATTTTATGAAGAATAATGAATAAGCCGGAGAGTATCAAGAATATGACAACAAGTATAGTGGAGAGCCTTGAACTCATGCCATGTGAACAATGGCTGAAGGTAAGACAGACAAGAAGCATTTATTAGGCACCTAGTATGTGCCAGGCTTTGTGCTAAGTTCCAGGGATACGAATACAAGCCAAAAAGACAATACCTGCCCTTGAGAGGAAGGGGAAAAGAGAAGGAACCCACAGAAGAACATGGTGTCCAGACAATCAGAAGTTTAGTCAGGAAGGCCTAGTAGAGTTGTCCCCAAAATGGATGCCCTAGAAAACAGGCATCAAACACTCAGACCATATGCAACATTCCTTAATATGGCACAAGTAGATTAAAATGTAATTGTGAAACGTTTAACAAAATAAATAAAATACAATGGAACATAGATAATGTTATCCTTATGTATGGTTTAATGGGCCATTTCTAATTAAGTTGAACCCTACTCCATGGAAGAAACAGGGATGACTCGCCTATGAGGATGAAGACACTGGAAGTAGCCTTCCAGTTTGCTGAGATAACTTTCTTAGGGGCCACCTCTGGGGCTTGCATCAGAAATTCATTGTCAGATTTCTCCAGCTGACCCAGCAGCCATATAAACATATACATATATATAGTACATATATGTATATGTAAGTATATGTATGTATATGTGTATACATATGTGTATATGTGTATACACACATATATTCTCTAGTATTCTAATGTACTCCCTCTTCTATAGCATAAAACTATTTCTTAAAAAGTCTGGTGCCCAATAGGAGCTAAGCTGTCCAGCTCTATAACTTGGGAATGGTGAGACTTTTGTCTTGTTTCTAGGCAATTGGGGTTAAGTGACCTGCCCAGGGTCACACAGCTAGTAAGTGTCAAGTGTTTGGTCCAAGGCTGGATTTGAACCAAGGTCCTCCTGACTTCAGGTCTGGTGCTCTATCCACTGTGCCACCTAGCTGCCCCCTATGGGGACACTTTTGTACAATAGCTAAGTGGGAAGAATTAGTTAATAAGTCTTATGATTATAGTGCATTATAACCACCAAAAGGCAAGGGCTGGAGAGCAGGGGCTTTGACAGCTGGTTGATGGAAGGTCTGTGTGAATGAATCACCAAATCAATATAGGTTGAAGGGTAGGGAATATGATGGGACAGGACAATATAGAGTGTCAGGTAAGTAAGTTGAGCTGCTTACTAGAATGGGTGAACATTGGCATAGATCATAGATCATAGATTTATTCATCAACAAACATTTATTACTATGTTCCAGACACATAGTGTCAGCACCCGGGATACAAAGAAAAAAAGACTGGTCCCTGCCCTCAAGAAGCTTATATTCTAGTAAGGGAGATGACTTGTATGAATTAGAACATATAATAAATGCAAAGCATGGAAGATAATCTTTGAGGGAATGGTACTAGCAACTGGAATTGAAGGGAAGGGAAACCAGGAAAACCCTAGAACTGGCGGTTCTTGAGCTAAATCTTGAAGGAAGCCAGGGATTCTAAGGGTCGAAAGGGAGAATATTCCAAGTGTGGAAAACAACCAATGCAGAGGCACAGAGATGAGAGATGTATTTTTGTATTTGAGGTATGTTGGCCGGTATAGCTAAACAGTAGAGTGTGCAGAGAAGAGTGGAATTTAAGAAGACTGGAAAAGTATGAAGAAGCCACATTAGAAAGAGTTTTAAATGCCAAACAAAGGACTTTACACTTAAATCTGCAGTTAATAGAGAGACATAAGACCTTACTGAGTAAAGGTTTGACATGGTCATGCCTACACTTTAGGAAAATTACTTTGCCAGCTGTGTGAAGGATAGATTGGGGTAGGGTAAGACGAGGTAGAGAATGAAATTAGAAAGCTATTGCAATAGTCCAAGTGAGAGGTGATGAGACCCTAAACTAGAGTGGTAGCTATGTGAATGGAAAAGAGAAGATGTATATAAGAATTTTAAGGACAGAAATGATGAGATCTGGCCATTGTTTGGATAGGTTGGGCAAGTGAGAGGGATGAGGTGAAGAGGAAATGGAGATTGTCTACATGAGCAACTGGAAGGATGAAGTTCCTGTTGACCATGAAAGGGAAGTTCAGCAGAGAAGAAAGTTTTAAGGAAAAAAGAAGGAGTTACATTTTGGACATATTGAGTTTCAGGTGCCTAGGGGACATCCAGTTGAAAATATTCAACAGGCGATCTAAATCTCAGGAGAGACCCAAGTGCTGAATAAAATAGATCTAAGAGTTATCTGCACAGTGATGATAATTGAATCCGTGGGAGCTGATGAGATCACCAAGTGAGAGAGTAGAGAGAGAAAAAAGGAGGGCACAGCACACAGCCTTGGGGACACCCACACTTAGTGGATGTCACATAGATAAAGATCCAGCAAAAGAGGTTGAGAAGTATCAGTCAGACAAATAGGAAGAAAACCAAGCAAGAACAGAGTCATAAAAACCCAGAGACAAGAGCATATCCAGCAAGAGAAGGTGGTCATTAGTGTGTCAGATACTGCAGAGAAGACATGGAGGATGAGGGTAGAAGATAGCAGAAAGATAGCTAGCACATAAGAAGAAAGATTTTGGTTTGTAGACTATCACAGACCATTTTTTTAACTTCCTCGTTAAGAATGTAAATTCCTTGGAAGTAGGGATTATTTCATTCTTTGTAATTACATCCTCCATTCCCTCTCTGCCTCCTTGGGCTCCATCCACTACATGTTTCCTATTGCATCAGGAGCCTATTGTGGGAAATGGCCCTGAGGCTACATATCCCAGGGTTGGTTTGTCAAGATCCACCCACCTTCATGACCTTCAGGAGAGAATGTGGCAGACAGGACAGGAGACTACCACACACCATGGCAGCGACAGGAAATCCAATATATGGATACTAGATTGGGAGAGGCAGGGCAGGATTTGCTGGGCCAAGAGGATGGCAGCCATTCATGATAATAATAATCAAAGCTGATGACGTGTATATCAATCATATGCAGTAGGTACTATAATTATTATTATTGTTATTTTACAAATAAGGAAATTGAGTCTCAAAGAAGTGAAATAACTTGCCCATTATTAAACAAATAGCAGGTATCAGAGGTAGGATTTGAACCCTGGTCTTGTTTGACCTTCATTCTAGCCTTCTCTCCACTGTTCTGTGCTGCCTAAAAGAAAGGTAGAAAGAGAGACCTAGGAGTGGAGAAGAAACTGAGGCTTTAGCACCAAACTAAGGTCAAAAGTAAGGCTCTAGGGACAGCTAGGTGGTGCAGTGGATAGAGCACTGGCCCTGGAGTCAGGAGGACCTGAGTTCAAATCCAGCCTCAGATACATAACACTTACTAGCTGTGTGACCCTGGGCAAGTCACTTAACCCCATTGCCTAGCCAAAAAAAAAAAAGCCTCTGGAGGGATACATCAAGCCAGAAAGGCAGTGAGTACAGAAATGTAGAAGTTCCAAGGTCCAGTCAATTAATATTAAAGTGTGTGTGTATTCAAAAGAGAGGTCAAGCCTAGACCCAAAGCAAAGGTGTATATTCCAGAGGAACACTTCAGAATGGTCAGGACAAGTGCATTTTTTGCCTAGGTTTAATGCTTTAAGAAGGCTTTCTTTTATCAATAGGCTGCCAAATACTGGCCACACCCTCTTTTGTTCCTCCCTGGGGTCACTTTATAAAAATCCAGGATTCCAAGGGAGACAGGCAAAGAGAGCTAGAGGATGGAATCACAAGATGAAGAAACAGGGAAAGGAAGCTAGGAGAACAGGGCCAAAGGGCTCAGGATTGAATGGAAGGAGGATACAAGGTCAAGGTCAAGGTATCTTTGACCTGGCTCAGGAGAGAAGAGATGGTATCCTTTCTTCTCTTCCCTCAAGTACTATAACGCTACCTTGGGAAGAGAAACTATTAGGAACTATGAGTCAGAAAACCTATTTCTCTCTCTCTCTCTCTCTCTCTCTCTCTCTCTCTCTCTCTCTCTCTCTCTCTCTCTCTCTCTCTCTCTCTCTCTGTTTTCCTTTTTAAAAAAGCTGGAAAAATGCCCTTAATTAAATTGCTTTTTATTTGGGAGCTGGCAACAGTGCTTTTGAGCGTCAGGCAGGGAAAAGATGAAATGGAAAAAAAACTTGTCAGATATCTCCCTATAAGGGTATGAAAGCAAAATCTGGAGGTGAAAGGTTAGGTGGGAGTGATCGCTTAGACTAAGAAAACTATCTGGAAGGCACTAATTGGGCAGAGGGAAGGAATCCCCGCAAGGAGGTGAAAAGCAGATAAACAGCTTCAGAACAAGGGGTCGTCAGAGAGAAAGGAGCTGGTGTTCTCCAAAGAGAGACCATGCTGGGTATGAAGGGAGATTACAAAATGAAACTGGGGTAGGTCATTGTGGCTGGGTCCCCATGACCACTCTTCCCCAGGCTTGGGGCTCTGAGTGACCTCCTTCCTAGGGAGTAAACTTTGGGAAGCAGTGAGAAGATTCCTAGATGCAGCAGAAGAGCAGGCTGAGACAGGGGGACCCGCCATCTGCATACCGACTTTTGCCATTGGAGGGAGCTGAGAAGTGTCCTGGGGGAGGGGGTGATGCTAGGAATCAGAGAACAGAAAGAAGCCCCTCACTGCCTCTAAGCAGGAAGAGAAGCTCAGTACAACCAAGCCGTACAAGGGAGCAGCCATAGTAGACCAAAGCTCATTTCCCTAGCTTATTTTTCCCTCTCGGTTTTCAGCCATTAAAGCTATTTTAATGAGAAAGATGGACCATATGGCCTGGAGCACATGTTCTCTCTGTTTGCTCTGGGGCCCCTGTGGATGGGAGGCCCAAGGTAAGCAGACAAAACTGGAGATCTAGAAAGCTTTCCCAGTCCCTCCCTGCCAGGTCTGTGTTCATAGTGCAGGGGTTCTCCACTTGGGGTCTACACATGTCCAAAGGGGCTGTGGATAGATATTAGGGAGTCCATGAATTTGGACCAGAAAAAAATTACATCTGTTTTTCAATATAATTGGTTTCCTTTGTAATCCTACGAAGTATTTTATTTTATCCATTTAAAAACATGATTCTGAGGAGTGCAGAGGCTGCACCAGACTGCCAAAGGGGTCCACGATATTAAAAAGCTAAAGAACCCTTGCTTTATGTATATACTGCAATAGCTCATATGTATAATGCCTCAACATTTACAAAACACTTTCCTCACAACAGCTTTGTGAAATAGGTAGCATGAGTATTATTATCAGGCAGCTTAGCTGATCCTACATATATGTTATTACACAGGACCAAATAAGCAACTCAGTAGATAGAACACTGAACTTGGAGTCAGGAAGACACAGGTTCAAATCCAGCCTCAGGAACTTAATAGCTGTATGTTCTTGGGTAAATCACTTGCTGGGGTCTATTTCCCTCATCTATTTCTTCATCTGTAAAATGGAGATAATAATAGCACCTACTTCTCAAGGTTGCTGTCTGGATAAAGTGAGACATCTGTAAAGTACTTTGTGAACCTTAAAGTTCAATATAAATAAGAGCTATAGAATTTTAGAGAGGTTAAGTCATTTGCCCATAATCAATCCAAGTAAGAAATACTAGAACCCAAGACCTTTATATTTAGGTCTTCCTCCTGCCAATCCAGGGTTCTTTCCACTACTCTGTGCTGCCTTATAACAGTCTGCACACGTATGGTGTTTTCAGGTTCACAAGGCACATTTCTTAAGAAAATACTATGAGACAAATAGTGCAAATATCATTATTCCCATTTTACAGATGGGGAAACAGAGGCTCAGAAAGGTCAAATGATTTGCTCATGATTAGACAGCTAGTACGTAACAGAGCTAGGACTTCAACTCTGACTCAAAACCCACTGCTTTCATTGTAGCAACTCTTGGGTAGGATTGGATTGGAAAGATAGGTGGAGATGGGTAGGCTCTTTCTTTCCTTTGTACTTTCCACAAAGGTGACCTTCACAAGGTGGGGGCAGTCATTTTTCGGTTGTTTCTGACTCTTTGTAACCCCCTTTGGGGATTTCATGGCAAAGATACTAGAGGGGTTCGCCATTTCCTACTCCAGCTCATTTAACAGATGAAGAAGCTGAGGCAAACAGGGCTAAGTGACTTGGCTAGGGTCACACAGCTAGTAAGTGTCTGAGGCCAGATTTGAACTCAGGAAGAGGCATCTTCCTGACTCCAGGTATGGCATTCTATTCACTGAGCCACCTGGCTGCCCAGAGGTGAATTTGTATCATAGATTTAGAGTTAAAAGGGACCTTAGAGGTTAGTAAGACCAAATGTCTCATTTTATAGATATAGAAAACAAGATTTATACTTACATGTTTTTCATACACTTTATAGATAAGAAACCAAGATGGAAAGAAGAAATGATGTGAAAATGACAAAGCTAAGTTTTAAGCCAGTTCCTCAGCCTCCAAAACCAGTACTCTTTCCTTTACAAGACATAAGACAGGTGGAAGCAGGGTCTGGCTCCAGGCTTTATTTCATTTCAGTTTGACCCCAGCAGCAAGCTATACCGTGGTCAGGAAATTGGAAATATCGTACCCTGATCCAGCCCCAAAGAATATCTCAGAGACAGCTTATGAGTGAAACTGTATCTTAGGCCTTGATTTAAACCATCAGGCAAACATTAGCCAATATTCTATCTTAGGGTATAACTCTAGGGACCACAGGAAAAAAAAAAAGGGGATGAAGCCTGGGTCCGCAGCACGCCACCTGCGGTCAGAGCTGCCTTGCGGTGAGTACTCTTTGCCTTGCGGTAAGTACTCTTTGCCTTGCTCTCAGGAGGAGGCAGCTGGTGATAAAGAAAAGATTCATCCTACACAAGCTGCCCCTCTTTGGAAACAAGTAGCAAAGCATTCTGTCTGGGAGTGGTTTCCTTTCCTCTGCTCCCTGTCCTCTTTTCCTCCCCCACTCCCTCACCCTATGCCTCAGATAAACTTCATCAAGAAACGAAGCTTCCCTTTGTGTTACTGCAGAGACACATCTCTTGCTGGAGCTCCCCTGGGACCCGCTTCGCCAACACATGCAAGGCTTTCATGTTGCCGATGCGTTTAATGTGTGAGGGACCCTCTCAGTTCAAGGACAGAATTTTAAGTTTGGCAGAAGATGGGAACAAAGTTTTGATTGCAAGGGGGAAAAAAAAGAATAATAGGAAGAAACAGATTCTTGACAGACTTGAATGATAAAACATCATGCCTGAGCCCGATTAAAGCAGCCAGCCCTGGTGGAGGAATAAAGAAAGGAACGATTGGTTGGGAGTCTAGATTTGGGTCCCCATCTTGACCCTGATCCTTTCCAGACTTGTGAAGGGAGGCAAAGGACCAAAGATGTTTGTTGACTGACTTTCCAGCACCCAGCACAATGCCTAGGAAATACCAGGCACTTGATAAATGTTTGTTGATGGATTGATTGATGGGACTAGGGGAGGGTCACATGAGGGAAAGAAGAGCAAGGTGAGATAAAAAGGCCTGTATCATTCTCTAGGCTAGCTCTTGGCTGAGAATGTCTGGAAGAAGGGGGAAAGGGGGACGCTTTGGTGGAGTCTCATTACAAGCCTATTCTTTGGTAGGTGATCATCAAGGAAGTTTAAGAAAAGATCCATGTTTAGGGGAAGGGTTTGGACTAAATGACCTCCAAGGTCTTACCAATTTTGAAATTCTGGGATTCTCAACTTCACCAACTCATATCTCTTGATTTGAAGGCAGGAATTTCCCTCTATGCCATGCATGCAGGGTTTGTTTGGAAAGACCAGTGGAGATGGATTCTTTCTTTCTTTGTTCTTTCCATGTAGATTGTGGGGCATAATTAAGATCATAGATTTAGAGCTGAAAAAGGATTTAGAAGTCATCAAGACCAACACTCCCATTTTATGAATGAGGAAACCATGGCCTAGGGGGCCATGAAAAAAAAATTCCAATGGTGCCCTATCACCTCCAGGATCAAATATAAAATGCGACAGTGGTCAATCAATCAACATTTATTAAGCACCACGGATACAAAAAGCTCTTCATAATCTGGCCCCCTCTTACCTTTAGAGTCTTCTTACACCTTACTTACCCTCACATATTTTGTGATCCAGTGACTCTGGCCTTCTTTTTTTTCCTCATACAAGACACTCAATCTCTCAACAATGAGCATTTTCACTAGCTGTCCCCATACCTGGAATGCTCTCCCTTCTCATCACTGCCTCCCAGCTTTCCTGGCTTCCTCCAAGTCCCAGCTAAAATATCACCTTCTATAGGGAGCATTTCCTGATACTCCTTAATGCTAATATATTTTCTCTGTTGGTTGCCTCCAGTTTATCCTGTGTGTAATCTTCTTTGTATATAGTTGGTTGCATGTTGCCTTGACCTAATATTAGACTACAAGCTTCATGAGGGCAAAGAATGTTTTTGCCCTTCTTTGTATCCTCAAAGCTTAGCATAATAGAACATGGATAGAACATAATAGATGTTTAACAAATGCAGTTGTTACTGAAGGAAGGGTAAGAGATTAGGGCTTCTCTCAGGGCTTGCAAACTACAGTCCCAGTTAAAACCCAACTCTTCAGTGAGCATGTGAGAGCATACACACACACACACACACACACACACACACACACACACACACACACACACATATAACCCTTACCGTGACATAGAATCTATGCAAATTGGATCTTTAATATCCTCAAGATAAATGGCTTCAGAAAGAACATGGATACAATAGCGTCTGTCTCTGAGTTAACATGATAGGCTCTGCCTCCCAAATTGGCTCAGAGAAATTAGCAGGAAGGAAGGAAGGATCAGATGAAATAATAAACCTGCTTACCTGCTCATTAATTTAATCTCCCCCTCCCCTTCTTTAGCCTCATGATTTCGCTAACTATAAAATAACCAGAGAACTTCGAAGTCCTAGATGAAAGGGAAACTAGGTCTGGAAGCTGGAAGATTAAAGGAGAATTTTCAGGATTAGTCTTTGATTTTCTCCTCTCTTTTTTTTCTAAGTCTTGAAGGTGACTGTGAAGCTTTTCCCCCTTTCCCTTCCACTACCCCGTCCTCTCCTTGGTTCCTAGAGCTCATCAGTCAGACTCCACTTGAACACATATCATAGATTATGAGCTAGAAGGGACCTTAAAGGCCATATTTCACTCTTTTCCTGGACAGATGGGGAAACTGAGGATCAGAGAGGCTAAATAATTTGTTCACAGTCATTAGACAAGAAGTTAATGGCAAAGTCGATATTCAAACCCAGGTTCTCTGAATCCAAATCCAGTGCTCTTTTTTCCCCTAAATCATGCTGTTTTTTGTAGCTTCCTTGGTAACTTGGAGGAAAGGAAAGGAAAAGGAAAAGGAAAAGGAAAAGGAAAAGGAAAAGGAAAGGAATGAGCATTTATTAAGTGTCCTACTATGCACGAAGCACTGTGCAAAGTACTTTACAAATATCTCACTTGATCCTCATATCAACCCCCTGAGGTAGGTGATACTATGATCCCGATTTTACAGTTGATGAAACAGAGGCAGATGGACATTAAGTGATTTGCCCAGGATCACACAGCTGTTAAATATCCAAGTACAGATTTGAACCCAGGTCATCCTGACTCCAGATCCAGTGTTCTAACCATTGCTCCACCTAGCTGCCTTTGCTAGATGATATGGGCTCTGAGGGAGTCTCCCAAGTTTCAATGAGACAATCACCTCTCTAATTCTGGATTCTTTGTTTTTCTGTTAATGCCTTTGTAGAGTCGGACAACCTGGTTCTGAATCCTCATTTACCTACTGTTAGACCTTTAATAGGTAAGAAGACACTTAGCCCAAATATTCTGACCTGTAAAATGGAAATAAGAATATTTGTCCTACTTACCTGGATTGTTAAGGTTCCAACAGAGTAGAGATCAGTTGCGTTCTTTGTATGTGTATCCTCTGTACCTAGCACAGTTCTTGACACAGAGTAGGTGGTTAATTAACATTTAGTGATTGAGTGATGGAAAGTGCTTTGTAAGCCTTAAAGGGGCATCAAATGTCATCTGTGTTGTTGATGACATACTTATTAAATACTGTCCTTCCCAGAGGGTGGGCCCTAGACCACTTGCCTGAGGAGTCAAGAGGTTACCCCTATGGAAGTCAAGTTTTTCAAGGAACTGTAAAGGATCAGCAACTCAAGGCCCTAAAGCAGAATCTGGGCCAGACCTTAGGAGGATGGTTCTATGGGCTGGGTTGGACTGGGCACTTGGAGAACAGACTGTTTCTCCTGCCCAAATCTCTCCAATAGCATCATCAGCTCTATGACAAAGGCAACTTAGGATCTCCAGGGGAGGGGGAAAAAAAAAGGGTGGAAATCTAATGCCCAGGGAGAGAGAATGAGTTGAGCTAGGTAGGAAGGAAATGCTCACTTTGCTGGGCCATCTCTGCCTCTTCTGGAAGGGGGTTGGGACAAATGATGAGCAATCAGCTCTCAGGTTGTCCTATTGATGAGAGTCAGTAGGACAGTTAAAAGAAATTAATCTAGAGACAGAAGCCCTGAGTTTAAATTCTAGCTCTGCCCTGTCCTACCTATGTAACCCTGAAAAGATGAAGGCAAAAGGGAATATGGAAAGTTTATATTGGGAAGGTATATTCAGGTGAGGAAATCTAATCGTTATCAGATATGGCACAAACTCAGACCCCAGCAGCTTGCTAAGCTGATGCAACTTCCCCACAGGGAGAGGATGGGAAGCCTGCTTCTGGGAGAGTTATAACGACATGACTCAAAACCTTAGAGAGACCATGGAACATTTGTGGACATCCTGTAACTGGTTCCAGTCCATTAGCCACATGCTTGCAAAGAGCCTTGTTCGATTGACTGCATGGCCAGAGCTGGATTCTGGAGACCTTTCTTCTTCTTTCAGAGACTCCACTCCCAGTGTCCAAGGAAGGAACCATGACATAAGGGGGAAAGCCTTGAGGTCTTCTCTCCTCTGAGGCCATGTGGCCTTGGGAAATGGGTTGGACCTTGGCCTGTACTTTTGTTCTTTTTCCTTTCAGGTGAAGAAGATTAGGGATCTTAACCCTTGTGAGTTTAAAAGGTCAGGAGGACTCTCTAATATTCTAGAGGACCAGAGTCTGGGTTTCAGAGCCAGCATAGCATCAATGCCTCAGGAAAGAAGTAGGAAATGACCTTTGGGATCCTAGCCCAATGGTACCACTTATCTGGAAGACATGCTATCTTTGGACATGGGATCAATGTTATATAGGAATTGAGCTAACCTGAGCATTCCCCCCATCCCAGAGACTAAGGTGATACAGGAGAGTATGCTCCCTAGGTTTGGGGGTGGCATGTTCATGCATTTTTATTGTAATAGTTTTGATATAAGTATCTCTTTGTAAAAAGCTAATTGATGGCAAGTGGTTAAATAGAACTAGAGCACTGGTCAATGGCCCCTGATAATTAACAATGGCTGACATTTACACAATACTTTCTAAGTACCAGGTACTGTGCTGAGCACTTCACAACTATTGTCTCATCTGATTCTCACAACAACCCTGGAAAATATATGCTATTATTATCATCCTCATTTTATAGATGTGGAAACTGAGGCAAATAGCATTTAAGTGACTTACCCAGTGTCACACAGCTAGGAAGTGTCTGAGGCAAGGTCTGAACTCATATCTTCCAGACTCTAGACCCACTATGCCACTTACCTGCTTACAGTTGAGGGTAACTCAGAAACCAGTGGGGAGTTTGAGCTAATTGCAGACAAAAGAGAAACCCCCAAAATGCCTCAGAACCCTGGGGAGAATGCAAGTGTAGCCTACCTGGCTCTGTGAGAAAAAATCAGAGCATAGAAGCTACATGAGAAGCAGAAGGACTACATTCAGTAGCATTATGGAAAAACCAAAGAAGAGACACAGAAGTATTTTGTCATTAGAATAAACTACAGACTGCCTGCACAGAAAATGGACATGCATAAGAAGTTTGGAAAACAGATCGCAGGCCTGATTGGTAGTTGGGGTGGTCTTCAATTACAGGGACATCTGCTGGAGCTCTGTCTCTGCCAAAAAAAAAAAAAAAAGAACAGCTACCAAATTCCTTTTTTTCCTTAATAATAACTTCATCCTTTAAAATATTTAAAAATATTAATTAATTAAATTAATTTATTATTAATTATATAATTTATAATTAAATTAATTTAAAATAATATTAAAAATTTAAAATATAGAGGAAGCAACCATGGGAAATTCTATTCTAGATCTGACTCTCACCAACAAGGAGGAAAAAAATGGTGAGAACCTTAGTGGGAAGTGACCACTCCCTCCTAGAGTTTTAATGGAAAAGGAAAAGAAATTTTTCTTTTCATCCCTTTTTAAACCTTTTTCTTGTCCAGAGTTTAGCAGAGTAGACGGGTGTTCTGGAAGAGGGTGGGGAGTAAAGGGGTGGTGGAAAACCTGTGCATGGGCACAGCCTTCTTCACCCAGGAACCAATAATAGCTAACTTGGGGTGGTGGTGTTCTTCAGTCATTTTTCAGTCATGTACAACTCTTCATGACCCCATTTGGGGTTTTCTTGGCAAAGATACTGGAGTGGCTTGCCATTTCCTTCAGCTCACTTTACAGTTGAGAAAAGCAAGGCAAATAGGGTTAAGTAACTTGCCCTGGGCCACACAGCTTGTAAATGTATGAAGTTGAATTTAAACTCAGATCTTCCTGACTCCAGGCTCAGCACTCTATCCACTGTGTCACCTCACTACTCCTAACTTAAGGGTAAAAGCACACTAAAGTTATGT